CAAGAACAAGAGCAATCTTTGCACTTTCATGTGTCAGCATCAAAATACATTACATATTCCGCCACTGGCGTACTCGTTACACGTAACTATTTTCTTTTCATTTAGATACGGATAACGTTTGCAAAGTGAACAATTTATAGCCTTTCCGAGTTAATTGCATCCATAATGGAACCAAAAGCTTTCTTAAGAAAATCTCCATCAGTAGATCACTCAAGATGCTCCTTAAGAGTATCAGACTGAACCCTACCAGCGCAAACGTTTCTAAAATATGCGTTCTGTTCCTTGAATTGCCAAATACCAATCAGCCAACAGTATAACAGCAAAATACACAGCGTGGAATGCCACCGACTTCCTTCCCTTTGGTCACTCAATGCACGGCAGTATTCTAGTACGTTCATATTTTTGCCTATTCTTCCCAATGTCCTCCTACGCATGTTGCATTGGCTGGCTGAACCAGCAACGCTATTCTCATTGGTTTTGTAAAATCCGGACGACTAGAATTGATTATTCTCTCTGTTGAGTCTGTTACCCCTTGATTGCGTACGGATACACATCCTGATATTTTTGGTGCCTTCTTGCTACAACAGTTCGCACCCGTCGGGTGCAATTTGAGGCGTTAAAGACCACCTTGGGAGATATACAGAAGGACATTATTTCATTAAGCATGAATTTGAAAGCGCTATAGATGCACTTGACTGAAAAGTGTATAGCCATGAGCATTTACAAATTCCGGCGAGTTACCTGCGTTTGAATACGTATACTAGGACCTGAAATATATCCGAGAGTACTTTTATTCTTTAGACACTCCTATGAAAGTGCATGTGAATCTATTTAACTTTACTTGTACGAGCGCCTGAAGCATTCGTAATATTCCGATTCGGCATGCGTGAGCTCGCTTTCTCACAAGGCCAAGAAATGTACTTTTATTGTTTATTTATACCAATTACCTTTAGTGGTTGTATTAGGCAAGTTTCTATCCATGATCATTTGTATCTATTCCATGACCGATAACACACAAGAAAATGCTGGGCAGTGTGCAAGAATGTTTGAGGAAAGCGGAGGTTCAAAACCCGTAAACGATCACTAGCACTTTCAACGTGAAATCCACTTCAATTTAACCAGATAGGATACTGTGAGTGCTATAGAACTAAATCTGACATGCGAGAAGGAAGCTTCTTAGACAAATCACCGATCACAAAACGGCCAAAAGACGACATACTCCACCTTCATTGGTGTCCGCACATGAAGATCTATAAGTCCGTCAATTCTATCGGGTAAATTGCAGGTTCTAGCATGTGAAAGTACGAAGCACGCGAGAGCATTTCTGAAATCATAGCGCCTTACCGTTAATTCAAGCAACTGCCATTGACGGGGACGCAACAACATTACCGTTGATGAGGGACCAAACCAACCACTTACATCCGGTGGAGCAAGCACTAGAAAACGGAATAGTCAACGGACCTGACCACAAGGACAAACAAAGAAAGACCGCGAGAAGCGAATCAGAGAACTTGTTCAACTATCACTTACCCGTCCAACAAGCAAAATATTGATAGATGTCTCTACCAATAGGATTGCCAATCCGCGGTAACTTATAAAAACGTACGCACACTATGCCTGACGCACTCTCATCGATGCTCCAATTGCTCCGCTGCCACACGCTGCTCAACAACGCACTCATTATGTCACCTCGGTTGATGACGAAACTTCTGCGGACAGTTCTACCGCTAATTTAACACTAATGCTGTGCACTCTGTAGGCCATACGCATAATATGTAATTCTCCAGTAGTTTAAGTTTAGTATTCTAGTGCAGAAATACATTAGTTTTACAAAATATCCCCTAAGG